TCTTCCTAATGGATATATTTGGCCATGTTATACCTCTGATGAAAAATCTTCAGTATCAACTGAGAATCCAATTAAAAACCTTCTGCCTGGCATTCAAGGCTCCTCATAAAATGGTGCCACTCTATCATTCTAACCTTTCATTATTATTCCTCGAAGTAAGTCTGGCACTCTAGGTAAAGTGTACTGCTCTGTGTCATCTGAATATACATTATCCTATCAGTGCCTCCTCACCTTTGATCATACCTCAAATATTTTCCATTTCCTTCCATTGTTGAAGTCAGAGCCATCCTTTAAAACCAAATGAAATGCCAAGTAAAAAGTATTCCTTGATTCTGTTGCTTATAATAACATCTTTCCTCAGATGTCATGCAGGTATTTTACTGCCTCCTAATGTATTTAACCTACAATAGTATATTAAATCTTATCCCCTACTAGACTGTAAACTCCTAGAAGGCCACATAAGACAACCTGGGTTTAAATCCCACCTTAAAGTGGGATTTAACTTGAATAACTTTGAAAGATACAATGTGACCTTAATACACTAAAATAAAAATAAACAAGTAGTATATCATAGAGACCTGCAGCATTATTTACTATCTTCTATTCTACTAGATATATGCAAATGCCTATTTTATTTGCATTTTGTTAAGTTCAGAATAAAAATTAATTTTTTAAAAATCCCACCTAAAATATTTACCAATTATGCAATCATGGGCAAGTCATTTAGCCTCTAAAACTTACAGAAGTTTTAATTCCAGTGGCATTTGGGTCAATTTGCAAAGCTATTACCAAGAGTTTGTCTGTCTCCAAAACTGGCTAAAATGAAATGTCATAAAAGAACAATTTTTGGTTTAAAAAGCACTTCAGGGCAGTTAGGTGGCACAGTGGATACAGCACCAGCTGTGAAGTCAGGAGGACCTGAGTTCAAATCCAGCCTCAGACCAAACACTTGACACTTACTAGCTGTGTGACCCTGGGCAAATCACTTAACCCCACTGCCTAACCAAAAAAAAAAGCACTTCAAAAATACAACAAATGGAGCACATCATGCAATGACATTTTCCTTGCTAGGAAATGACTAAGACATGATATTCTATTAGAAAGTTCTTTCAAAAACATTTCTCTTCCACCATTATAGACACAAATAGCTGAACACAAGTAGATGACAATTCTCATTTTATCATCAGGAACTTTGTCCATCTAAACTCAAAAGAAAAAGGGTAAGGAAGAAGCTATCCATCAAGAAAGTATGAAAGTATAAAACTCAGATAACCCACCAATATATTTAATTGCATCAGGGTAAACTTAGTATAAAACTTGGATCTCTGGGGATGCAAAAAAGACTATACTAAATGAAGAGACACAAGAGAATATCAACATGAGATCGCCACAAGTAATATAAATAATTATAAGGCTTTAACACCATCATTTTTTAAAATTTCATAAATTTTTTAAACAAAGCTTTAAAATAATCTCAATGGAACATATTTAAATATATTCCCATGTTATTACTTATACTCCCTGTTTCTAAGTGCTTAGATTTCAGTTTGGAAAACTGGGCTCCTTAAACTTTTTTAACATATTGATATCAATATAGTCAACATATATATGATATATAACATATATACAGATGAAATATGATCCTTTATGCATTTTAAAACAACATTATTTTGAGGTATCCTTAGGCTTTACCAAAATGCCAAAGGTATCTGTGACATAGAAAAGTTAAAAGCCCTTGCTTTAAACTATGAAAAAATAATAAAATTAATTTAAGTTTCAAGTCTCAAAGATACCTACTTTTAGACATGTAGATGCGAGGGACAGAAGAAAAGGAAGCAATAACAACAGAATCTGGCTTAAGCAGGCAAGAGTTAAAAATATCTGAAGGTTGGTTTTGGCTCAACCCTTCCTCCAACCTCAAACTGAACCCTGCCTCATGACTTCACGGAGTAGAAGTAGCAGTTTTTCTCTCTCTCTCTCTCTTTTTTTTTTTTTTTTTTTTAGGCAATTGGGGTTAAGTGACTTGCCTAGGGTCATACAGCTAGTAAGTGTCAAGTGTTTGGTCTGAGGCCAGATTTGAACTCAGGTCCTCCTGATTTCAGGGCTGGTGCTCTATCCACTGCGCCACCTAGCTGCCCCGGGAGTAGCAGTTTTTAACTGAAAGGCTTTCAGGTTGGTATTATTATTTGCTAGTCTACTGCAATGCTAATGGTAGAAAGGAAAGGAGATTTGTAAGGTGAATAAAAAAGCAACATGGACAAATATAAGCATTATAATCTTAAATCAGAGAGAAGTGATGAAAGTAAAAACCTGACAAGATATCAAAGTATGGAAAGTCATTCAAAGGGCATTCAAGGATAAAACTGAAAAGACGACAACAAAAAGAAGTAAAAAATGAAAAAAAATGTGCAAAAAACAGTGGAACCTCCATACCTGGAGGACTCTAATATCACAGAAGAAATGACACTTAAAAGAAAATACAGATGGAAAAATAAGTGCATTAGACTACGTGTATATACAGGAAAAAAATCCATGCCAGAGACAAAAGAATTGTGAGGCTATTGAGGAACAAATATGCAAGGTCTCCAAGAGATAAAGACAGCAGAAGTTTAAAAAAATTCTTGGACTTTATTAATACAAAATAAAAACAAGTGAACATCAAAAATTACAAGCTCATCTACTTATTTTTCCAACTATATAAAACCTTTAACAGAGTAATCCATTTGTATACAAATCAAGGGCACACTCAAATGAGGTTATTAGTAAGGAACAAGATAGGTTTTCCATTCAACAAGGGACCAAATTTCCCCATCTTGCAAATGACTGAATGGTGTTGAGAACATGATACCACTATGCATATATTTTTTGTTGGTTTTATACATACACACACACACACACACACACACGTACATACGTGTATGTATGTATGTATGTATGTATGTGTGTGTGTGTGTGTGTGTGTGTGTGTGTATGTACGTAAGAACAAAATGCCACCTTATGTGTTCTTTCCTAACAAAATGTTTCCCTTCATACATCATTCGGGATTCTTTAGAAAATGTAACAGAGGTGGAAGTGTGAAATGATCCAACCATTTTGGAGAGCAATCTGGAACTATGCCCAAAGGGCTATAAAAATATGCATACCCTTTGACCCAGTAGTAGTACTTCTAGGGCTATATCCCAAAGAGATCATACAAATGGGAAAAGAACCCACATGTACAAAAATATTTATAACAGCTCTTTTTGTGGTGGCAAAGAACTGGAAATTGAGAGGATGCCCATCAATTGGGATATGGCTGAACAAGTTGTGGTATATGAATATAATGGAATACTATTATGCTATAAGAAACAATGAACAGTTTGACTTCAGAAAATCCTGGAAAGACTTGTATGGTCTGATGTTGAGTGAAGTGAGCAGAACCAGAAGAATGTTGTACACAGTAACAGCCACATTGTGAGATGACTTCCCAGCAATACAAGGATCTAAGACATCTCCAAAGGCCTCATAATGGAAAATGCTATCCACATCCAAAGAAAGAATTATGGAGTCTGAATGCAAATCAAGCACATTATTTGCTATTTTTTTTCTTCTTTTGAGTTATGTTTCCTCTTTCCGGTGGTTCCTTCTATTAATTCTAATTCTTACTTACAACATCACTAATGTGAAAATATGTTTAACAGGAATGTATATGTATAGCCTATATCATATTGTGTGCTGTCTTGGGGAGGGTGGTGGGGAAGGAGGGGGAGAAAAATTTTAAACTCAAAAGAAGATGGAAGTGATTGTTGATAAATCAAAATAAATTAATTTTAAAAAAAGAAAATGTAATAGAAACAACATTCAGTGATCTTCTGATAATAAACATCAAGTAAAAGACATAAAACAGGGAGCTGTTATTCTCTCACTAAGGGTACTTGTCACTGTCATGGAAGAGAAATAGCACAAGAGTCCAATTTGAGAAGGACTTCCCTGTGGATGGTGAGCTCTTCCAGATGCTGTTGTCTGTAGATAACATTATGCTGATTTTATTGAGCTCGAAGACACTTTACAGCCTCCTAAAAGAGAACTCCATAATCACTCAAGGGAGTCTGGCCTGTCCTCCTACACAGGACAAGTTAAGTGAATGAAAAAAGTCAACAGCCCATATTTCATCATGCATTTGGATGGACACCCTGAAGAGCTTGACCAGTAGTATATCTGGGACAAGAAATAAAGGGAGCCAACAAGCTTGGTTAAAAGTTGAAAAGGAGAACAGTATGGATTGCTTTCAGGAGATTTTAGAGCTTAAACTTCCCATGAAAGTGAAGCCCATTTTTCCAATACTACCATTTTCCAAGCAGCAGCAAGATGCAGAATACTATGGTTTCTGAAAAACTAAATATGAGTATCATACAGAGGACAATGGAGAGGCACATGGTAGGTTTGACTAGGATGCAATATATAAGTAGGAACTGCAAAGAACAGGAATAAAAGATATCTCAAGGGATTATATGACAGGAAAAGATGGACTGGTCATGCAGCAAGAGGGAATCACAGACAACCAGAGAATTCCTTTGATATAATAATAATAACAACAACAACATTATTATAGCTAACATTCATACAGCACTACTATGTGCCCAGAACTGTGGTAAGTGTTTACAATTGTTATCTCATTTGATCCTCACAACAACCCTGGGAGGTTTCCTCATTTTACAGATGAGAAAACTGAAGTAAAGAGAGGTTAAGTGATTAAATGCTCAGGGTCACACAGCTAGTGTGTCTGAAGCCAAATTTGAATGCAGGTCTTCCTGACCCCAGGTCTGGCGCTATTTCTACTGCACCACAATGTGGGGAAGAAAGTGAGGAATGCCTCTAACATTAGTAAAAGAAAAATGTGCTAAGGATTTTGATATATATATGCACACACATCTTTAATACAACCTAAGGGAATAGAAACTGTTTCCTTACTATAAGGTAAGACAGAAAAAGAAAAAAAAAAAACTTAACAAATACACTACCTCCCACCAAGTCCTTCAATCCTTTCTCTTTCTTTAGGAAGTTCAGGTTTGTGGTCCTGTGTCACTTCCACAGCTCTTACAAAATCATCCTTTGGGTCATCCTGAACTCCAAGGACCACTCCTGAGTCTCCCACATGAGCTACATACATCTTTGTGCCTCGGATGATAACCACGCTTGCAGTTGTGCCCGATGTGCTGGGGAGGCCGGTCATAGTCTTAGGCCATTCTGCTGTAATAAGAAATGAAATGTAGGTTTTATTCTTGTATATTTCAACATAAACTTAACAAAAAAATATTAGCAGATATGGTATTACCACCATGTTAAAATTTAATCACAACTGCTATAACTTCCACAAAGCAAAGAAATTTAAGGAAATGTCAAATGTATTCAAATAAGATATGTTAATACCAATCATATTCATTAAGAAGTTATCAAAAAAGTTTATCTAGTTCAATCCTCCAATGTTTCTACCTCAGAAAAAAACTATTCAATTTTATTGCTATTACTTCTACATAATTCTTTTGGTTTTAAATTATATTTTTATATTTAGAGGGTACTGTACGTTAAACTACTTACTTCTGATAGCTGGACAGATCATTTATTGTTTCCTATTCAATGTTAATTTTAGAGAAAGCTGATTTATTAAACATCTACAACATATGAACCAGAAACTTAAAAACAAAGGAAAAATCACAGAAGTAAAGAAATGATGCCATAGGATGCCACAGTACAATACCAAATACAAAGGCTTAACTATTTTAAAATCCCACAGAGAATTAAAGGAACCTAAATGTTAACAATGTCTTGACTAGATAAAGTCAGACCCATTAATAATGTGAGTAAAAAAAATTTCAACCAACAGCTCTGATGGAGTTTATTAGGTGATTAGAGAATATGTACAAAGAAAAAAAAATTACAATTGTCTTTTAAAATTATATTCGTACAAACACCCTGAAAAAAGACACATGATACCTAAGAAAGTTCCCTGGAATATTAGATCTAACAAGTTAATAAAAACCCTGAGAAATACTAATAAACCCTATGTTTTTATATATACTGCTCAATAGAGACATGTCTACCTTTCAAATCTGTTCTTCCCATTTGTCTCCCTCTTTCTCCTACCCAGAATTTATCTAATCACTAGGAGCTACAGATGTTCAAATAAGTTACAACAGACATTTATAAAACAAATAAACTTAAAAAATTTAAAATTAAGGATTCTAACATGCTTTGCCCTTTACAAAATGACATTAGAAGTAGCTTCTTCAGTAGATCCAACTTATTTACAATTTTAAAAATATGATCAAATAAAATTAATCCACAGATGCATTCTCACAAACTTAAAACATCATCAAAAGAGAATATAACTCAAAGGAAAAATTATAGGTTAGGCAGCAGATAAATGAACCATACCAGTGTTTACCAACTTCTCTTTCACACTAAAGCCTATTAAGCCTTAACAGTACAACTTCTTAATTTGAGTACCTGCTGTGACCTTCAACAAATCATTTTAATTTGTCTGGGTCTCAGTTTCCTCCTCTATAAAATGAACTGAAGTGAAGGAGAAGGATTGAATTAGATTAACTCCATTGTTCCTTCCAGCTCTGAGTCTTAGTTCGAAAAATGAGATTTCCTCTCCTTATCATTTTTATTATGCTCCAAGATTAGGTCCACCATTAATTATTATTTTTTTTTAAGGCAATTGGGGTTAAGTGACTTGCCCAGGGTCACACAGATAGTAAGTGTCAAGTGTTTGGTCTGAGGCCGCATTTGAACTCAGGTCCTCCTCACTTCAGGGCCAGTGATCTATCCACGTGCCACCTAGCTGCCTCTACAGCATTAATTATTAATAGAATTTCCCTGAACTAAATTCTATTATAGGAACATAATATTCATTTTCCTCTAAAGCTTTATCATGATATATTTATATGAACACAATGCTTGTTTGAAATAAAAGTCATATATATGGCAGAAGCTGGTATTATTCTCCTAGATTCCCCATCCCATCTTCTTTGAAAATAGACTGAACAAGGAGAGAAAAAAAAAGCACTGGATCTTTCTTCCCTTGGGGGGTTGGGCTCAAGGGGAAGCAATTGGAGTTAAGTGATTTGCCCAGGGTCACAGAGCTAGTAAGTTTCTGTGGCTGAATTTGAACTCAGGTCCTCGATAACTTAAGGGCTGTTGCTCTATTCACTGCATCACGTAGCTATCCCTGGATCTTTCAAAATGATACCAATTTCAGATAAAACATGCTTTCCAAGAAAGCAAAGAATTAAGAAATACTGCTCATCTAAGTAGAGGTCCAAATCAATTAAGCAATAACAGATTTCTAAATATGGGCAAGAAGTGAGGGAGGGATTAAGAATGAAAAAGTTTATTAATAAGCTTAAAAGATATACTGATATTTAGTCATAATACATCCCATTATTAATCCCATAATATCCCATTCTCTTAACTTGAAAACAAAGTCATCTTCCCTTTCTTTTGGTTAAACTAATTTCTCCTTTCATTCACAGGAGAAAAAATACTTAGGGGAGCCTGGGAGAAAAATTTTGATGTTATTCACACTAAACCATGAAATTCTCGGAAGTACGAATACACAAATCTCTTAAGGAACATGGGATACACTAGAAGGTTTATACATCAAGAAAGTTGTTGATAAAACTTATCTATAGCAATACTATTTTGTAATTTTAAAATTGGAAAAATTTTAGTGGCTAAACAAACTATAAGATATAAATCTAACAAGAGTATCACTAGACCTTGCAGAACAAAGGCAAACCCAAGGATATACTGCCATAATATGAAGGATCAAAGTAGAATCAAAAAATTAGTAATACTACATTTATGTAAATGATAAATTTAAATGGCAACAAAACTCTAGCCAAAAACACTAGGCAACACTGATACTAACTCAGAAAACATACACCAGTCCTCTCTTCTAACAAAGAGAAGCCTAATAAAGAGTAAGATTTCATGTACCATCCATCCAAATCACACATGCTATTTTATTTAACTATTCTCAAGAATTCCACTGTACCCGGTAATTTGTATGATAGCTAGAAAACATCTTATTTACTAAATATTCTCTTTCTGGAGAAACTAAACTAAAAGGATTCTTCTAGTATCATGTGCTAAATACACCTCTTTTAGTGTCAAACCTTCCATACCTCTTTGTACTTGCTTTATAAGAAATTTAAAGAACATAATCATTTAGGCGAATGAGGCTTACTTTATCTAAGGTTAGGGACAGAAGCCTGTAGTTTGTAGTATAAAACATACTTTGCCTTATTTGTCCCAAAAGAGCCTAGAAGCATTTACGAATAACTCTAAACCATAACAAAGAAAATCTCTCTTCTAGAAATATAATTTATAAACAAAGGCCTACTCTATGATTTATAAAAATAACAGCAATAGTATTTCTAAGCAAAGGGGTGGCATGTTTTTATTTAAATACTAAATTTGCCATAATTCCACTTACAACAAAGTGCTTTTAGTGTATATAGTAATACTAAATAACGCCTTATGTCTCGGCACCTTGTTACAACTGTGTACAAAAGATGTAACTCTGTGGTATACTTCTAGAATCTACTGTACTGCTTTCAACTCTTTTCTTCATAATCAAAAACAAAACAAATGTATAATGGCGCCTCTGGGATTGGTTGGGAAATAGCTCTATCAACGGCTGATTGGCTAGTTCATGCCTCAATCAAACAACTCTGGGCAGAAAGCCAGGCAGATAGAAGACTGACTTTGGGAGGAGTCTCGTTCACAGGCACAACTTGCTACACCAGCGTTTTTAATATCTTATATTTGGCTAATTAAGTACTACTCGAGAAATACTAAAAAGCTCTGAAAAGCACAAACCTAACAGGGCTTTTTCATTTTACATCAATTTCAGCCACATGCGCAGAAATTAACCAGCTGTTAAGTTCCCCAGAGATTGTTTCGCAGAAGCTTTCCACCATATGGAAACTCCCTCCCTCCTCTCCACCCCCATCCTAGTTCACAGCCTATTAGAGAGATGCCAAAGGTTCATTGGGTGAGTCTATTGTCACACAGCTGGTGTCAAGAGGCAGGATTTGAACGTAGGTCTTCCAAACCAAGTCCAGATCTCTATTCACTAAGCCTCTCGGCCTTTCTTGCATTATGGAATTGACTCTAAAAATTACTCAACAAAGTAACCTTAACTATATGCTCCTTCTGCCTGCGGCTGTCGTTTATACTCCAAAACCAAAATTTTTGCAACCATTTTCTTAAAAGACCTAATCAGATCTATTTCAGTTATATAGCTATTACTCAATTTATGTGAACTGTAATTCTTAAAACTAAAGGAATTCTAGGCAGCAACTGGTAATGGTATTCAAAACATTCTGTAATCCTTTATCACAGAATTTCCTCACATTGTCTTGGTTCTTTAATTAGGGATGTTTAACCGAGAAAGGGGTTAGAGTGTCATAATACCTGTCTTCCAGAGGGCTGAAGGAATGTCAAATCAAAGGAGTCAGACTTGTTTTGTCTGAGTTTCAAGGGGCAGAACTAGGAGCTAAATAAAACGAGTCTAAGCTGCAAAGAGGAAAATTTAGATTCCAGGAACGGAAAAACTTCCTAACCCTTGGAGCTACTATTCATACTATACTGCTTGGGGAGGTCTTCGAGAAAAGACCTATTGGGCCGCGGTGAGAATTCTTTTCCGGGTATGAATTGGGTCTAGATGGCCTCTGAGGTTCCAACTCTGTTGTGCGAGCACCCCATTCTACAATTCTGAATCCTACGCTGCATATCCACCCCCATTACCGAATGTCAAGAACTCAGTTTTACACAACACACACCGAGTGTGGACGAGCAGCGGAAGACCGCGGCGCGCCCAGTCCTCCAGAGAGCAGCAAGCAAAGGGAAATATGGGGACACATTCAAATGAAACATGTCCCTATCAGGGACTCGGGGAGGCGGGAAGAGAAGGCGGGATGATCGGGTGGTTTCATCTTTCGACCAAAACTTGGCGCCCGGTTTTAAACGGTCTGTTGCCGCTTGGGGAGGCGGGTGAAGGTTGGGAGGGTGGGGAAGGCGCGGTGCCCGGGACCCTCTGAGGGGGGGTGCAAGCAGAGAGGAAACAGGCTGCAGCAGGGAAGGCGGGAAGGCAGCCCGCGCGGGATGGTGGGGGTGGAAGTGGGGGCCGCGGTCACGGTCACGGTCACTCACCCAGTTTCTTCCACATGGCCAGGTGACAGGCAAGGAAGCCCTTACGGATGGCGGCGCACACTTCGGCCGGCTCTGCAGAGCCGAATCCTTTCTGCTTCTTGATGAAGCCCCACAGGTGCTCCCGGGCGAACTGGGCCGCCTCTCGCCCGCCGTGACCGTCGCACACGGCGAAGAAGGCCACTGAAGAGCGGCGGCGGCGCCGCACATACACGCGGCCCGCGGCTGGCGACGAGGCTCCGGCGCCGCCCGCAGGCTCGCGAGGTCCTTCCCGGGCCGCCGCCGAGGGGCCCTCGCCTCCGGGGCCCGTCTCGTCCCCGGGGAGCGGCGGCGACGAACGCAGCGAGAGCTCATCCTCGGCCGGCGGCTCCGGCTCCACCACGATCTGGGTCACGTCCTCCATGTACTTCCTCCCGCCTTGGTCAGAGAAGACGCTCACCCCAAGCGAGTACAGTCCCGCCATGGCCGGATGGCCGGGACCCTCCCGGCCCCACACAGCCCGCCCGCCGAGCCCGGCCGCGCTAGGTCCAGGCTACGCGCTCGCCGGCCGCCAACTATTGTTTATCTTCGACGACTGCGAGAGGAGGGGGGCAGGGGAGTGGGGGGGAGGGAAGGAGCTGAGAGGAGGAGGCGGGGGAGGGGGCGGGCCCCGAGCAGGGCTGGGGAGGAAGGGGAAGAAGTAGGGCGCGCGAGGTCGGGACTTGTCCGCGCGAGCTGAACGTTGAGCTGAGATAACTACGATGCCCCAGTGCGGCTCCGCGTCCGCGCCTGCGCAATGCCCTTCTGTCCACCTCGCCCCGCCCTCCCCACCCTACTTACTCATATCCGTCATTCCCCTATGCTGTCGTCACTCTTTACTCTGGGTCTCTTCCCCGACTTCGGGCCAATCCTAAACCAAGGCAGGGCCACTCATCCCCTCCCCCATCTGCTTCTTCCCGTGTCCTAGAGATCTCGCGAGAGCATTCGCTAGTCTTTTCCCAGTCGTGCTGTTCTTCCCTCAGTTAGACTTAGCGCTCGGAGCTTTGGTTAGTTGGTGGTTATTCTTACTTCTTGGTATTCTAGGGAAAGCATGGGCCGGGCGGGGAAGACACGGCCAATAATGGGAGATAGAGAGCTAACTGGCCTTGGGAGAGAGAAATCGAGAAATCTCCGTCGGGTCCGAGAAAGTTGTGAGGAGATGCTGAGGAAAGTCGCACTCTGCATGCTTCCCTGACGGACGGACCCCCGCCTTGTTAGGCTCTCGGCCCCAGCCCGGGCCTGGGGTGGGTGCTCTGTTTCCCTCTTTTCCTTCCCTATCCCTCACAATTTTCTATCAGCCCCTTGGATGGCTTTCCTTTCATTAGAATCCTAAGCCCACCCTGTGGTTTTTAGACTACCGACGGCCTTAACGGGAAAGATCGCTAAATTAGGTCAAATTTAATGTAATTTTGGGGTTTTTCCCTTTTTCAATTCCACAATACCCCACCCTTCTCTCAAAATGCAACATTTTTTCATTTAAAACAAGGGCATGTCTGTGAACCCACACAGATGAAGTGATTGGAACTTCTTAAAAGCTAGTACCGATGCTGTGTTAAAGAATGGGGGCTGGCTGTTTTGTTTCTTGGGGGTAGGACCATGAAAAGATGCTCCTCCCCAAAATTAAAAAAAAAAAACGAAAATTAATATGGGTTTTACGAAGAATAGTTTGGGGAGGGAGGTTTACTGGAAAAGTTGTCTTTATGAAATATTAGCAGGGCTAGCAATTGGAAATCTGTTGGCTTTGAAGAAAGCTTTTTTTTCCGTCCTTTAAAAAAAATGTAAGTAGTATTGTTAACATCGTCACCGACACTTGAGTGTGAATTTTAAAACCTTTAAAAGTCTACGGTATCTTTTCTCCCTCCCTCCCTTGACAGAGCTGTCTATACTCTGCCTTACACTTACTAGCTCTCTGGCTTCCCACCTCAACCCTCAACTAAAATTGCTCTCACCAAAGTTAAAAATGATGGTTTAATTGCAACATCTCAATTCTCATCCTTGATGGCAAGGCAGGGCAAGGCATGAAGCATTTATTAAACATTTTGTGCCAGGCACTATGCTAAACTGAGGGTACAAATGCAAGCAAAAAGGAAGTGGCTGCTCTCAGGGATCTTGCATTCTAATGACAGGAAGGCACATAAAAGAAGTTGAAAAGCTGGAGAGCAGCAGGCAGTTTGGGAACACCATTCCTCAAAATGGAGGCCTAAGGAGGAACTCAAAAGTGGGAAAAGGGACAAGGACAGCAGAGGGATGTTGGAAGTTGAGAAGGCCACAGGGAAAGATGGCTGTTTCAAGGTGTGAAGGCTGAAGTCCATAAAAGAACTTTCATCGTAATAAGGTAGCAGAGGCATGATGTTGAAGTTCAGAGTCAGAAGCATAGCCAGAGAGTAGAATATAATCACTGCTGAGCTTTTTGGAATCTATATTTCCTCATAGAGGGAGCTCCTGAAGTCACTTATACTGGCATTCTGTACACCACCTCCCCACCCCTTTCTAGAGCACCCTTTCCCAAAACTACCTTGTATTCATTTTGTATGAATTTTATATGTAATATATGTATATATATATGTTCATATTGTTTCCCCCCCCCAGAATGCAAGCTCTTAGAAAGCTCACACTTCATCTCCAGAACATAAGTGCTTAGCACATAATAAGTGTTTATTGATTGATTTGAATCCAGCAAAGCTGGAGATATATATACTATGGGAGAAATACTTCCTTTTTGAGTTCATGTGGTAGATTATTACTGCCAAATAAACCACAATGCAGAAAATTATAGAGGTAAAAACCTAGGTTTTATAATGCTAAAGAAGAGGTTCAGAAGGTAAAAATAACCCTAAACCTAGATTAGAGTTTCTGACAAACCTTTAAAAGAAAATTTTGTTAGCTAAATAATTTTTGATATGCAGCAATCTCATACATTCTCTTAGGCCATAAAACTTAAACAGAATCAATGGTCTTATATATCTCCCCAAAAGACAAATCTAGTTAAACAGATTTAGTAAAGTAAACTAAGTCAGGTTACAAATTAAACTACATTTAAAGGGTTCACAATGGGCTGTTTGAGAGGAGATTTACATGCCTCAAAGATAATTATAGAGTAGGAGCCAGTAGAATTTCTTCATAAATAGCTAAATCACCTTGGGAAGCTCAAACTGTCCTTTGGTGTCTTAACTGAGGAATGTTGGAAAGTCTTACCCTAATATTATCATTCCAAAAATCAGGTTTTAGCTTTTGTTGTTCAATGATGTCTAACTCTTCATGTGCCCATTTGGCATTTTTTTTCTGCAAAGATATTGGAGTGTTTTGCTATTTTCTTCTCCAGCTCATTTTACAGATATAAGGAAACTGAGGCAAACTGGGTTAAGTGACTTGCCCAAGATTATACAGCTAGTAAGTGTCTACGGTTGGCTTTGAACTCTCCAGGCTGGCATTCTATCCACTGTGACACTTAGGCTTATCATGATCAACTAAATACTTGCAATGAGGCTATCTCTAGTTATCCTGATATGTATCTGGTCACTGGACCCAGATGGCTCCAGAGGAGAGAGTGAGGCTGGTGACTTTGCACAGCCCTCCCTCACTTAAATCCAATTCACTTGCATGTCATGGCATCACTTCCATGATATCGTGGTCCTCTTCGAGAACTAAGGACAAACAGCAACCCTGTGAATAGTAGGAGTTGCCCAGGGGCAGCTATGTGGCGCAGTGGATAGAGCACCGGCCCTGAATCAGGAGGACCTGAGTTCAAATCCAGCCTCAGACCAAACACTTGTCACTAACTAGCTGCGTGACCCTGGGCAAGTCACTTAGGAGTTGCCCCACTGGGGATACAACTGGAACTGGCCAGGTGAGCTATACACCTCTTTTCTTGCTTCCTTCCTTTCTCTCTCTGCCTCTCATCTATCTGTCTCTCTCTCTCTCTCCCTCCCTCCCTCCCTCTCTTCAGAAGCATCACAAAATATATTGGGGTTTGCAGACTAGATTTCTTTCTTAAGGACCATACCTTAAACCCAAATCACTCTGGCTTTTACTGATTGTCCAAGAATAAGTCCCGGGCCAAACCCCACTTGGTCATTGTTTGGGCCCTGACTGGCTCAGAGTGAATGTAAAAGAATTGTTTCTGTTTTGCCCAGAAACTCTAAGGGTCTTCCTCTCCCACTTTGACTTTTTTTTTTCTGGACTAGGTTAAAGAGGCCATTCTTTGCTTCATTTTTTACCTGGCCTTCATCACTGAGTGGGTATTGCCTCAGTCAAACTGAGATCTGCTAAAGACCTTAGCTTTAAAAGGCCACAGTCTTCCATGGCATCTGGGGCCATCTCCAGTCACCTTAATGTGTATCTGGTCACTGGACCCAGATGGCTCTGGAGGAGAAAGTAAGGCTGGTGACTTTGCACAGTCCTCTCTCATTTAAATCCAATTCACTTGCATGTCATGGCATCACTCCATGTGAATGAAGAACAGACAGCAACAAACATTTGCAAGCACCAGGAATCTTTGTCAAGCCTACCAACTGTTTTCTCTTGGAAGAATTAGAAGTGGGATTTATGGGTGGGATAAAAGGGGATGCAAGTATTTCAGTTAGAAAATTCCACAGCTAATCTTTCTCTAAATCATGAGAGCTCAGCCTTCTCTGATCCTATCTAAAACCTGATATTTTCATTTTAAAACTAAATGAAGGAAAAAAACTAAAGGTATCACAAATCTTATACCTCTCCTTTAACATACCTCCACCTCTCTTCAACACCAGAGTGCTCTACTTAATTTAATGAATGAATGAAGTTTTTCATTACTATGTACAAAGCACTGTGTTAAGCACTGGAATCTAAAAAGTAAGACAGTCCCTGCTCTCGAGGAACTTACATTCTAATGAGGGAGACAACACATATGAAAGGTTTCAGCTTCAAGTCAAATGGAAAAGTTCCCTGTTGCATCTAAGGCATTTCTACTGGAAAAAAAAAATTAATATCTAATGTAAACCGTTTTGAGAGTGCCAAGGGCTTTGATGACAATAACTTGTTTTCTAGGTCTTCAGTAGCTGTGGCTGAAGCACCTGCAGGAACATTACCATGCTGCATCTGCACAGAGGTTGCTTCCCAGGATTATGGCAGAGAGTGTTGGGATCTTGGAAACATTGCTATTCCCAAGGCTCTTGGGTTCAGATCCTGGGCTGCACCCTGTCAGGATCCTTGGATCTCATAGGATGAAGTGTAGGCTGTCTGCTTGCCAATTGGTCCTATCCTTTTCTCTCCTATATTCCTTGGAAGGATTATCTCCTCATATATCTTCAGTTCTCCCCTCCATGTTATTTTACCTCTGTAACCAAAATATTCTCAAAAATGTCCTATCCTTTAAAAAAAAAAAAGGCCCTTCCATCCACCTTGCTATCCACTTAAGGTAACATCCTACTGTTGAGGTTCAAGGTGTATTGCAGGGTTGTCTCGAAAGAATTCACAGACTCAGACCATCTCCAACCCAAGCAAAAGCATTTATTGAGGATTATGCAATT